ATTTATTTAAAAACAATATTTAATACAAAAATTGTATACCTAAAGTAGAGAAAAATAAAATAAATTGTAAAAGCCTTATTTTTAAGCCTCTTGCCGAATTTCACATGTTTTTCTAGACATAAAAAGGTATTTTTTGAGTACTATTAGAATGCTCGTCAAAAAAAAAAAAAAGAGTTTTTCCTTCCACCCTAGTAATGTATGGAATAGTAATTAAAATACAGAATATTTTTTTTCTTTTAAAAGAATATAATTAAACTTTTGAAATCAATTCATGAGAAGTATGCAGTTCTTGGAATAAAACACAAGCATGTCACAATATTTTTTCAGAAAGTATTCAAATTACAAACCATTAATTAATTATTCAAATACCTTGAAAAATGTCTGACCATTTGGAAAATTTCCAGGAGGAAACAACAGCACATAAGGAAAAAGGAAAAAAAGAGCTTGTAATTAAAAATATATGGCTCAAAGGGCGAAAAATAAATTACTCTGAAATCTAGACACATTTGGACTTGATTAAAACAGCAACCAATTTTATTTACATTATCGCACTATACTAGCAAACAAAAATTGTGTACTTATCTTAAAAGTGGTTAACCTTCATTGGTTAATAGATTTATCATTTTATACCTTTAAAATCGACCTTTTTAATATATAAAAAAAATATGTTGTTGGAAAACATAAAAACAGACAAATCATTGTTTTTCCAGTTTTTCCAGTGGATTCAAAATAAAAAGTTACCTTCTTTCATTAGTCTCTTTAAACATCATAACACCTATCTCAGAGTTCAAAATACAGATTTTAAAACAGCAAATTTAAAAATCACTTAAGATTGTGCTTTTAGTGAAAACTATAAAAATTAAAACTATAACATTATATACATTTTTTTTAACAATTGTTTTTCTATTGTAAAATTAAGCAACATGGAGTTAAGAGATATAAGCATTATTACCGTATATAAAACCAAATTTCAGAAAAAAATACTAATGATAAAGTAATAAAAAAAATGACATTTTTTTTTATTAATTATTTATTTATTTAGAGATATAATAATGAGTCACACGGACAATAACTGGAGTGAGATCTGAACACATTCACACCATATATACAGAATACATAAAATTAACAAAAGTAAATTAATAACTAAATAATTATAAAAAACTATTAATGAAATAAAGAAAAAACATATGTAGTTTGTAAAATAATACACACTTAAATGTGTATCTTTCGTATAGTAGAACTTCTTTTTTTAATACATTCTGTTGATCGTTTTCTTAGTAAATTTCAAATAGTATATTAAACGTTTCAACTTTCAAAAAATTTCTTTATTAATTTTTTTTTTTATTTCATTCTTATTTGGTCACTTGAGGAATTTTAAGTAAGATTGTATGTTGGTAAAAAAAATGAATGTGCGAGATAAATTATATTAAAAATGTATTTTAAAAAATCATCTAATTATCAATAAATATAAAAAATCAACATTAACTAAAATCTATTATTTCTTAATTTTTTTTTTTTTTGTCATTTTATCCATCGGATCGAATGACTGAGCTATCAATTGAAAGATTATATTGTTCATCAGGTGCGAAAAATGAACAAATTCTCCAGTAATTTCAGGAAAAAAAAAGAAAACTATTTCTGGTGAACTATACCGTTTATAATTAAAAAGGATTTAAAAATTCCCTACAAAACAAAAAAAGTATAGATATCAGAACATTACAATAAAAAACACTGACATTTTATTGTTAGAAACCTGTTCTAGGCTATTATGTCGAATAAAAATGAATTATCCCTCTCACAATCTATTGCACTAAATTATTTACATATTATATTGCTATCTGTCCACTGACCAATATAAAATGCAAATTATTCGCTCGGAACGGCTAGTTGTTTGTGATTAATAATTAATTTTTTTTTCTCAGCTCTAAAAATTACAATTTGTTATTACAAATTGCAAAACTTAACTTTGCGGGATAGGATCCCGTAGTTCTGCATAGCATCCTAAGTGAGTAATGAGGAGTGAAAATTGATATGGTGATAAATCAGTGTTCTAGTGATGTGCTTCCTACTGATGGGTCTTGTCCAACATTTTTTTTGTATTTTGTTTTTCTTAACGCCAAAGGTCTATTGATATGTGGATAACCAAACTTTGTACGATATAAATCCTGCAGTTATGAGGCTCACTACTTGTCAGGTATCGTTTCAGTTAGTAAGTAGCCCTCAACCTAGTCAAGTCAGAGGCTTTTTATGTTAGCCAATTCTGTGGCCGTTCCATCGTAGTCTTGTACACTGAGAATAGTATTGAGCATAGCACACAACCTTGAGTGACACCGAGAATCAAATTTTTAATTTGCAATCAATATTAATATTATACAGTTCTTCCTAAAGTTGTGAGAATGAACGGTTAAATACACTACAGATGTATACCATGTAAAGTATTAGTTTTTTTTCTTCTTTTAATTGGTCAATATTTAAAAAAAAAATAATTGTCCTTATTTCTTGCTTCATTTTTGCAACTTTATCATATTTAGCAACAATATACCTTAATATATGACTAATAATTGTAGGCGAACTCTGCGGAGAGTTAGTACAATTAGTAACTGAATATAATTTGGTGGCCCTAGTCCCAAGAGGGAGGGGACAAGAGAGGGTGAGAATTAACCACCTCGCCTTCTCTGGAATTATAACTTGAAGAAAACACTACCCTAGCATTGTACATTTTCTTCCGCGTGACACTTAAACCATATAACATCTAACAAATTACAATTTGTTTGAATTTTAATTTAAATTAAAAATATTGTATAAGAACTTTAGCTACGAAAATACTCGATTATATATTTAATTACGATTAAAAACATTTTCAACACTAAAACTGTTCATTATATTAAATTGAGAAATTATTATATGGAGTATTGAATGTATGGAAATACTGAAATTCCAACATATGTCTAGTGAACGTTTTAGTTTTTAGAGCTATATATAATATTAATGAAAAAAAAAAAAATCTTCAATGCGCTTTCCTTAATTACTGGTATTTATTTTTATAGGAGATAAATCTTTAAGAAATATTTTATTCAGAAGCAAAATTAATTAAGACGTTTTACGACCAACATTTGCAGATGGAGTACCTTCATGTTAAAAGAAGGGAAAAAAGAACAAAATAATAATAATAAAGTATAATTGCGCAACTTGCATTGCAAGTTTTTGAAAATCTCAAGTCGCGTTTGCATATTTTTAAAACCCTAGCCAACACGAGAGTGTAAAAGAGTTATTTTGTTTGACTGATGTGACCCTATGTTCATAGTCAATCCGTACACTGCAGGTTTTTGTGAACAAATCAAAAAATTCCTGCGTAAAGCGCTCCTATTGCTCGGAATTTCAACACATATTAGCGTTTCATATCTATTTTTTATTTTATTTTTTTATTATTTATTATGTTTGTTTCCATTTTTTTTTTCTTTTTCAAAATAAGATTACCTCAAACCTAGTTTTAAATCAAAATATTTCTCTGTGACACAACTCCTCCGCTACACATTTTATTTTATTTTTTTTTTTTTTTACCATGAGTTAGTATGTTCATTATTCACGAGAATTGGGTAACGTGTAAAGCCACTTTCAACTTTGGGAAATATGTTTGAAGAATCAACAATCTTCTGATTTAAATGGAGCCAATCGAGGATAAATATTAACCAACATTTTTATGTGAGTTTTATTTTGTTATAACAATTGTGCTCTATTTTTTTTAAATAACATTTTTTATATTAACTTAATTACAAAACTTTTATATTAACTTTTTATGATTATTGTTCAATATCTAGGCCAACTCAATTTGTATGAGGCATTTCCCGAAAACAAAAAAAATATTCATTCATTTAAATATTTGTATGCTATTTTATAATGAAGTGTTAACTTGTTTACTGTTAACATTAAGTATTTAATACTATATATTTAATTTGATTAAATAAACATTTTGGGGATTAGAAAAAAAAAAAAAAAAAATATATATATATATATATATATATATATATATATATATATATATATAAAATGAAGTATTGTGTTTTTGAATTGTTACGTATCACTGTAATATATTTAATTATATTACATATTTCTTATATAGTAAGAATTTCAGATTTTCTATACTCTCCTTATTTGTTTTTGTTTTTTCTCTTAACTTAGGATGAATCAACTTCTATAGCTTAACAAGCATTTTCTTTGGTTTTTCTAATTAATATGCATAGTAGAGGAAGGAAAGTATCAAAGTAATTTATAAAAAAAATATATATAATATAAAGAATAGGTTATCAGGCGCAGTTTATTAAAGCGTAGATTTGAAAAACAAATATTATAGGAATGGGGTTTAGAGAAAAGAATAAAAGCAAAATTGGTTGAGATTTTTTTATTTAATATTTTTTGTATGGATTTGCGAATTTAATAATTATTTTTTTAAAGGGAATTTTTTAAGTGGATTAAGGGTGAATTTAAAAGTTAACGAATTTTTTGAAAAATATTGTACTGTTTACATTATGAACGGAAAAAATTAAATTAACAAGAATATCTTAATTACTATAAACAAAAAAAAAAGATTGAACCAACCCTGAAATTATTTAATATTACAGTGTATTTTTAAAAATAAATTCAATTAATTTAGTTGATAAATAAACTAAACTTCCATTAACAATAAAAATATATATAACTGATAGTATGTAATGAACAAAACTTTGAATGAGATAATAAATTATTCAAATATTTGAACTGACATGATACAAGAATTAAGTTATGCGGTGCAGTATTCTAAGGCGTATATTTAAGAAAGGAATATTTTATAAATGGGGTTTAGGAAAAGGAATACGAATAAAAATTGGTTTGAGGGGGACTTAAAAAAACAATTTCAGAACGATTTGCGATTTAATTAATTTTTGAAGGGGCATTAAGGTTAATTACGGGGTGGGGATGAAGTTTAAAGTTAACGAATTTTCAAAAATGGTACTGTTTACATTATGAATGAGCGGACTAAACTGATTGAGAGGATACCATTGATACGTGTGACTCAGAAGGGTAGTTGGTGGGGTGTGGCGCGGCGCATGCACTCCAACCCCAGGCCGCAGCCGGCAGTCTGCCCTGCGACGTCTTCGGTGGAGGCTGCACACCTAGCATCTTCTCCCATATCAGAGGTAACTAGTCACACTTATCTTTGTCGGATCGAACCTGGGCATCGACGACCCTGTCGACAATAAGTTATACATAAAAATAACTCATTAGAAGTATTCTTTATACCATTCAAGACGAAGAAATCCCTGCTCCGTTCGATTGTAGATGATAACAACATCCAGAAACGATAGATCAGGAAATTTCGATTCATAAGTCAAAAACTTTAAACTCGATTCAAAAACCAATTATACCGCGCAATTTCACTTCCGTTACACGGACGCGCGCTCTTCCGCGTCATTTCACTCCCATATCGAAACTAAATTTTTTTCTTTGAAAAAAATATAACAATAAATAATAGCCGACACTAGAGACGAGAATCGATATATAAACTGAATTATGAGAGGGAATGAATTGATTGGGAGGGGGTGAGTCTGCTAAGTCACGTAGCGGAGAGACTACGTGAGCCAAATCCCTAACTCCATCTTCGTCGATAATACTGGTTATGACAGCGGTGGTGATATCTGGCGACGACTGGGGGGACTAGGGCGAACTCAGAGCGATCTGGCAGCGGAGATGGGAACTACCTCGACTTTACATACTCTCTTCGCCCCTTTTGTCGTATCACCCCTCACCCCTAGTTCTTAGAGCACTCCCCCTTCGCAACACACTCTGGGATCTACAACTGTTAAAATAATTTCCAACGGAGCACTTCCTGAAGAACTGTTCTAAATCCATGTCCATATAGCAAAAAAAAAAAAAAATTGTTCAACCTCGCGTAAAATACTTCCAATGTTGTAGATAATTTTATTTATGCTTAAATAATAATTAATTCATATAAAATATTTAAAAAAATAAAATAAAACCTTAAGAAATTTACATATTTATGAATAAAAAAAATAAATTCTCAATATATTTATATATTTTATTCATGCTTCAACATAATAAATTTTATAAAAAAACAAAACATTAATAATAATATCAAATCCACAAAAAAAATTCATCGATTACCATTTTTCGCAAAATTCGAAGCACCTCTCACCGGAAACAACTCATGTCATCCTGATTTGACTTTAGCAGATCCGTCCCAAAACCTGTAAGTCTAAAACATAACTAGCGAAATATTAATAATTCCATATCAATAATAAACAATTTTCTAAATACCTAAATAATAATTGCGTATTGCAATATAGATAAAAAAAACAAAATATCGTGTCTTATATAGATTGAAACCTTTGTAAAAATTCATTACAAGCAAGCTCTGATGTTATTACCAAAATATGAAAAAATTTATTTTATATAATTTTAGAGTTCTTGTAGTAAAGTGTGCGGAGAAGTACTTAAAAACAAAAAAAAAAGATCATTAGGTTAGAAATTCATCTGTAAAGAAAATTATTTTATATATTATTTTATTTTAATGTATTTATTTAATAATGTATTTTATAATAATAATATATTTTTTTCAGAAATGATATAAGATTTTATCACGAGGGCTAGAGATACAGTGAGATTTCCAGTATGGATGCTGCACCACCTCGGGCGTGGTCGATCGTCAGTTGGGAAGCCTGCCACCGCAACTTAAAGGATTTAGGTAACACCTTTGATATCAGTGAACGCTTTTGTATTATCTCATCCATTTAAGTATTATATATCATGGTTTTTATAATTATTAATTTATATAAATATATATTAAATAATAATATGTTTTACTTAAATAAATTTCAATATTAGAGATAAATAATTAAACAATTTTAAAAATACAATATAATATTCTTCAACATGGGAAATTATAGCAAAACGTAAATCAAATCTAAATGTTTAAAATTTTCATAATAATCGACAAGGAATTATTAAAATTAATTCAGCAATGTTCATATGAGCCTACTTCAAAGCGTCCAGACCGGAAATCACAGCCATATAAAAAAATATTTCGTTTTTTAAAAACGTTATATTCAAAACGGATAACTCATCAGGAATATCAAAAAATGTTATTTAAAGTCATAAATATAATATTTCTAATAAAATATAATTTGTAATATATTATAAATATTCCCATAAACATATGCTTTTACATCTCAATGAGATTTAACTTTTTTAAACTATTTTGAAAAAGTATAAAGCAAAACATATAACCATTCCTTTAATTTTTTTATAGTAAAATAAAGCTTTCAGACTAAAACAAAAAGCCATTTGTAGGAGGCTTATTTAACTTGGGTAAAATCTTATTTTTTTTTTTAAAGGATTGAATTGAATATTATACGCATTTATCTTGTTCTATTTCTTAGTTAACCTGAGACATATGTGAGTGCACATATTTATAATTTCAAACCTGTATTGTTACGAATTAATTTAAAGTAGAAACATATGCTCCGATTTCTAACAATATAAGAGGAAATTTGGTTTAATACATAGGGATTAATTGTTGCACTTCGCAAGACCAATATAAAGACTGCCCGACAGTTGCAAAACTAAGACAAAGATTAGTCAAAAACATTGTTTACGCTAAGACAAATTAAGGCAAAATAGTTCCTAATTCATGAAAATTTTAGTTAATATATAAAAATAATTAGTAAACCAATGTACTTTTGCATTTAACTCTTCCAATTTTTCATTCGGGCTTGGTTTCCCCTATCTGAAAAATTACAGTAATATCTCTACAGTGATACGCTAATAGGTAACTGCAAGACAGTAACGAGACTCTTGCGCAACACCAAGATCAAGACAAAGACTGATTGCGCAAGATCAAGAGGAGTCTTGGTCTCTCATATTGGCAATACTTAAAGGCTTTGAGAATGGTGGAGTTGAACGAGAAGTATATGAGAGGATAGTATTAATTCCATTTAAATATATATTTAGATCTTAACTGGTGCTCCCAACCTCCGAAGTTCGTATGAAATAATATTTAAAGATAAATATTAAAATTACGTTAATATCGATTAATTCACGTTTAATTTTTGCAATATGTGTTCATAATATTATATTTTATAAATTCTTACTTAATTGTCGTCTAATGAAAATATTTCTTTAAGGCTTAATAGGGTTTCTCACTGAATATAGACAGCTTCGATCAATATTGACGAAGTTTTCTTTGAAATGGTAGGTAATAGAAATTTTACCCTAAGGTGAGAGATAAAGTTCTTTATTTTTTTCCATTAATTTTAATTGATAAGTCATGATTATTGTTATATTATTTTATTAAATTTGCATTAAAACTATTAGATAGTTAAGTGGCAGATTTATTTGTTTTTATGATAACATTAAAACCTATAAATTATTAAATCAATACTTTCTGTTCTGTTGAAATCGGATCTCAGAAGTTATAAGGTGGCCAAAAAACAATTAACCTAAAATATTTTAGAAGTAGAAGCAAACCATAAAATATAATAGTAAAAATATAAACATATTTTTATAATGGCTAGAAGTTTTCATTGCGCCTGAGTACTGACAGAACGTCAGTATGTAATACAGAACTGTCAGTAAACCGAAAATTGATATCAATATTTTATCAGAACGAAAAACTATTTATTTATGAATAATAGGTACATAAATGTCTGTGCTTTATTTTAAATATTATAATCAATATCTATATTATTATTGGTCAGAGCTAACTCAGCAGCATTAGTTCGAAATATTAGAATCAAAGGATTATGAATACATCGAATGTTAGTCAATCTACATGTATTTAAAAAAAAAAAAATTACGTTCAAATAAATATTTATGAATAAAATAAAATATTTTTATTTAAAAAAAAAAATCAAGATGTAATTAAAAATAAACGAAAACTAAGAAATTTAATATTGCTTATCATGAAAAAAGTTAATTTAATATAAGCAATATGTCTGGTTAAAATAAATAAAAGAAAAGCCCTATTTTTTATCTTCCATGCAGTTACTAAAACCAATGAAATTAAGACTTGATAACTAAAATAAATATTGATGGTCAACTTCACACATGTTATAAATAACAATTCAATGAAAATATCTAACTCAGTTTTGAACGAATGTTTGAATGAGTTTTTAAAATAAATCAAATTCAATGAATCAGACATAAATAAATAAATAAGGAAGTGAGGGATGTATTTAAAGATTTTTTTTTATTTGGATTAAATTTGTAGCTGCAAAATCTGTAAGGTTGGTCATCGATATAACGTTTCTCTCAACGTCTGTAATAAATACGCTGAGGTTTCTTCAAAAATCGTTTTTTAAATAATTCAAACGTTCGGTCTCAAAACATTGTTTTAAAGTAATATTGATACATATTACTTTAAAAAAACGTATATATATATATATATATATATATATATATATATATATATATATATATATATATATAAAATAATATTAAAAATAAACTAAATAATCAACTATATGCTGTCAAGGCAAAGCAACACGAATATCTTTCTTCTAGCAGGCGCAAAGGTCTACTATTACGCCTAACTACCATATCAGGGTGGATTTTTTTTAAAATATTTAATTTTTTTTTAAATCGTTTAAAGTTTTGGACCACGACAATTAAATCCAGAAATGAATTTAAGGATATATAATTAAGCAGACGGGCTATGTCCATGCTTATTTTATTGCATATATATAATTAAGATAAATATGTAATTTAATTTTGAAAAAAATATATAAACTTACTCATTCATTCAAACAAATATAATAATAAAATATAGGAACGAATTTTAATTTAAATTCAGAACATATTTATTTACGAAAGACTTTAGAATAATAGGATTCGGTGATAAATATTCATAAATGTTAAACAGAATCTATATTAGATTAAAAGCTCTTATTTATATATATAAGATATTTTTTATAGGATAGATACAATATAAGTGTTTTTAGTGATAAAAAAGTTAATCTAATTATACCTTTTGACCTAATGAAACTACTTATAATATTTACTATCCTCGAGATGATAACAATTACAAAAAAAAAAAAAAAAAAATGGTTACACACATATCGTTTATGCATATGGTTTATTGTAAGAAGTTATGAAGTGATATTTCATTACCTTGATTATAAAAAACTTTGACGAATTTTCCCTTTTTGAAATTAGAAAATTGTGCGTTTTTTGTAACTAAATTTGTCGTATAAAAGAGTTTGTGTCATTTTAAGGCACTTAATTAGTTTTTTTTATCGACAAATAAACTTGAAATGCTTATAAAAACCTTCTTAAAAATTCAACTCCATAAAAAATATACTAACTGACTCAATGAAACCAAGAAATAATTATTATTATCAACTCATATTCTTATATTTGTTTAAACGAATTATAATAAGTTAAAAAAATAAATGTTAAATATTTTAGAGAGTTTAATTTCGAGACCAGTAACGCTTATCTTGGTTAGCTTGCTCAGCGTAAATTCCAGCGAATTAGAAGTACTTGATAATGTGATTTCTGACTTCGCAGAACAAAGTTTCCTCGCGCTTCATAAAATGCCATTAGTATCACCGAAACTTATCTAAGTCGCATTTTATCTCTTGAATTAAATTATTTTCGTACCCTTTAATTTATGAAATGTTTATCAGAGGTTTGCTGTATAAGCAAATAATTATTTCAGCAATCAAGTTGCGCATTGATAAAGAAATACATTTATTGATAAATAACCTTACTTAGGTTATTTCTTTTTATATAATTATTATATT